TGTTGAGAATATTAAATTTTGTTACGAAGGTTGAGAAACTCTTAAGAAGTGATAATATTTGATTATCTTATAACTTAGTCACTTATGAAAGAGGCAACACTCAGAGGCCGGATTAAGTATAATGAGAGCTTGTAAGAGGAAGGCAAAATGCATAAGGTGTTAAAAATAAGTAAGTTAGTAACCTGTAAGACAGTCCAAAATAGAAAATATGATGGCACAAACAAGATGTTTACTGGTAGATAAAAAGGGATGGAAATATCAAGTTATCATCATGCCTTCTCTAGACTGACCGCTATGTCTCCTCCATTTCAGCCACTAACCAGAGACACTCAGTACGGTCCCATCTTGGACCCAAAGGTGCTCTCTACTCAAGACATGCAAATAAAACCCATAGCTCCTCAGCAGGGAAACTGGCAAAGCTACAGCTGTATCTCACTGGATTTGTCCCCACTCTCTTAGCTAGGGCTAATGGACCACAAGCCCAGGGCATCATTAGTCTATAGGGTCCTTGCTCAAATATCAATTTTGGTCCTCATAACCACACCATTGGTGAGGGAGGCTGATGGGAAAAGGGGGCAGGATACAGGAATATTGTGTACTCAGAGCTCAGAGTGGTCCTTCCAGCCCTGTCTACACTGTCAGTGTAATAACTTACCTCAGGGCTTTCCTCTTGCTTCCTGTTGTGCATTTTAAACTGATTTGATAAATCGCATGATCCAAGCCTTTTCATTTGGTTGCTGAGCCTGTCTATTCCATAGCCTCTGAAATTGCTGGTAGCACTTGGAGGCTAACCATTGCATCAAGGATAACTGCCCACAGAACACCTACTGCATCAGAAATCCGCATTTTAACAGATCCCCGGGTGATTCACATGCATGTTAAGTTTAAGCAGCACTGAGCAAGGTTAGCAAGTACTGTTAGAAAGAAAGAGAAAGTTCCACAAAGACAGAAATTTGGATCTCAAAACCATGCCCTGAATACCATCCTGAATAAAAGGCCTCATGTACCCCCTGACCACTCAGAGCCCAAAAGGAGAGAGAAAATGCTAAGGGAACCATTGTCAACAACTGTCATGTAAGGTTTAGGGAAGTACTGCTGGCCCTTGGCGATTCTCCTTTGCACCCGGCTATGTATAGTTTGAGGAAACACTCAGAAAAGGATGGTACCACGCACCTCAACATGAATCCTGCAATCTCCTTCTTCCCTGGAATTAGGAAAATACCTTCTTTCAGATACATTATGTTTCAAGAACCCCAATCCAAAGGACATGAGGCTACCAGAAACAGACAAAGGGTTATAACTTTCTTAATAAAGTTGTAGTGACTTTAGAAAGATCATCCAAGGGCAGACTTGAGCAGAATAGCCGAAGAAGAATCCCTAATGGGCTGTACACTTCCCACCTACCAGCAGTTTCTGACTCCATCAGCTCCGGTCTTTTTATGTATCATTACTGCATTTGCATTACAGTAAGGGCTCAGTAAATTTTCTGAATTAACAGGAAAAACAATGAAAAATGTCACCCTTTCTAGCCTTGATTTATCTAAGACAAATTTAATTAATTTGATCCCTTGGCTTTGAGAAATTCTTGAGTATGAAGGCATAATTCTACATCTCAAATTAGCATAGTTCATAACACTTCATTCCGCATCTTGAGGTTGGATTTTATATTTCCTATTATTAATCTCATTTTACTTTTCCACTATGAAACACATTAACCTCTCCATTAAGAAACAACTCAACCATTTCTAAAAGTCACCAACAATTATGTACAAGGAATATAGTACACAGGAAAAATCTGCTAGTATTTTGATGTTTTTCTAAGTCCAGATTTAAGATCAAGGGAATCACCTATTTAAAACATCTATATAAGAAATAGAAACTGAGGACGTTACACACACAAAGATCATCAACAAGATCTAAACACAAGGCTAACAGTGTTGAGGATATTTACCCCAGTGAAGAATTAGATGAGAATATTATGAAAACGATGTCAAAGTTCTAAAGAGCATTTCTGTAAAGACTATGCTCCCTATTGCTTCTAAAAGAGGGGATATATCTAAATTTCAAAGGTTTAGGTTGGAAATCATAACTTCACATTCCATAAAAATGGCTTTATAAAAAGAATAAAGAAACACAGATATGGAATGGTTGAGTGTATTCCCTTGGAAATGATCTACGGGATCCTGTTCACTCCATGCCAGCTAGTACAGCCAAGGACAGTTAAAGTACTCACAGGACATTAGACATTTCAGCACAAGTTTTAACACTGCGTTACATGGGTTTTAAATACCATGTGTTTAAGAACTGACTCTACAAGCTCACAGAGAAAAGAGATAATCTTACAAGTTTCTGTCTCCTGAAGCTAACAGCATGAAACAGACACATGATAAGCCTTCAATAAATATTTACTGAATTTAATGAAGTATTACCACTTTCTGAGACAAAACTCTTAATTGGAGATTAATCTAAACACTACCATCACCACCACCACCCAGTAGAAAAGGAGCTCTCAAAATTTCCAAGTGAATCCACTTACATGTTAAACAATGGGAACAACAAGAAAGTAATTGTGTTATTCATTATAAAAGGCAAAGAAAGAATCCTCTGTTTGCAAACTTAATCAACTCCAAATAGTACTGTTAACTGCCCACTAAAACTCAGGGCATTCTCTTTCTGTTTCACAATCTTTTGCTTGATCTATGTTCTTGATGAAACGTGTTAAACTTAAATGTATGTATTCAATTTCATTCTTCATTATATGAAATACATAGTACCTTTATTATTTGAAAATTAAAAAGTAAAATGCTTATTGTTATAAGCAATAGTAGGAAAAAAAGCACTTGAATTTCAAAATATCATACCCAAAAACCTGGTCTAACCACATATGCACAACCACATTTCAATGATAAATCCTATAAAATTCATTAAATCTATTATTGTGCAGTTATATTTAGGGTAGCACAGGACCCAAATACAAAGCTAGTGCTCCATTTGGTTGAGTGAGTGGCGTTTTACTTGATAAACTTTCATAAGCTGCTCTATGCCCCATTAGGGAGTCTGTCTCTGGTTTTAACGAACTCCTTGAAGAGTTCATTTCAGTTATTCTTGCCTTGCTTGATGTGAAACAATTTAATCTGATCGCTTTCTTCCTAAGGGGTAGAAAGATGATGTTCAAGGGAGAGTGCAAAGGGGATGTGGTCAAATTTAGGAGCTCAATGAATAGGCCTGAAACAGGCTCACTAGAGAGAGTGCCTGGGATTCGGGGGGCGTAGGGGAGAGAATGACAAAGGAAGCTAGCAAAACACTGCAAAGAAACTTAGCTAGTCAGAAACCAGGTTCACATCTCTAGTTATTTCTAACACAGTAACTCCACCGTGGCCCATTCTGATGCAGAACTTTTGCCTTACACTAATGAAAGGAAAGTTTGCCGGCTAACACCTGTAGATAATTTCATAGATGGTTATTTCAAAATAGTATTTTATCATTAAAACAAGGTCAGGTTTCTCTTTGCTATGTAAACTACTTACCCTACAGCCTTCTATGGGGGTTTCATAAGATGAAAATGACAACAGGCAGTGATTTTAGATTTCGAGGGGAAAATTTTAAAAGATGCTATATCAAATTCCAAATCGATCATATATACACAGTGTACAAGCTAGAAGCCCCTAGAGAAAGTGGTTTCAAACTACACAATTCTGCCACTGCAACCCTCCAGATTTCCTAGGAGGACATGCCCATAAATCTTAGGACAGAGCCGGTGGGCAAGTTTGAAAAAGCACTCCAAGAGACTGTGACACTCAACCAACCACCTCCTACCCCATTGCCATTACCAGCTAATAGCGTTTCCACACCCACTGCTGATGTACTCTGTGCTATTCTTCTATACCAAATGTTAACTAAGTGAAATCGTTAGAATAGAGTATCTGAATTCAGATGGCATTTATCCAGCTTTTAAGAGGTAAAAATAAATCCATGAATGGCAAATCAATTTAACTTCCCTTCACAAAATTTCATTTTAAAGCTACAGATCAAATTTTGAACTTAAAGCTATTTACAGTCATAGCTTTCCAATTAAAGTATTTAAGCCCGCTAATATATTTTCATGAATCAAACTTTCACTACCAAGTAGCAGTACAAAAAGAAAAGTTCCAACATTCCTCACAATCCACTTACACATAAGGGTTAACTCAGATTTTTTTAAGCAAGGAAATAAAGGGTATTATTTCAAGGTTACCATAACTCTCCCCTTGTACATTACACCTTATATCCTAGTGTTCAGACTCAAAAATGTTATTATTTATGGGTAATCTTAAGTAAAACTAGTTAAACAAGTAATTCTATTTCGAGGTAACACTCCTGGTTTTCAGTGTTCCTATTATTCACTTTAGTCCATTGGAATGTATATCACAAGCCCCAAACTTCTTCAATTTTACTGTTACTCAGTGCTGGTTATGCAACTGTAAAGCACATTAGAAAATATGATGGACGGCTCTCAAACTCCGGACTTTTCAAATCACCTCACAATATATGCATATCAACAACCTTGAATTCCTTCCAGTTGTCAAAATCTATTCTGCATACAGTTAGGCCCAATTACAAAGAAGACTTAGAAAGAACTTTGAAAACAAACTGAGAAAGTATACTTACCTTAATTGGAGCACTACTAAACTTAATTTTCCTATTTGCTGGAATATCCTCTTCTTCTGGCAATCCCACGATTTCCGAGTACTCCGTGTCAGGTTGATAGTAATTGTTTTCATCACTATCGTCCTGCTCGTCCTGTTCTGTGCCTGTCTCTCCCCAGTCGGAATTATACCTGGATCTTACCCTATACACATTATAGTCACTGTGCATGTAAACATGGGAACTCTCGAAATTATTTGTGTCTCCAGGTACTCCCTTCCCACCTCTGGATCCAGAAGCACCAGCAGAGGTAAAATCACCACCTGAAAGTTCTTTCTTCTGTTGCATTGCTGCCTCACTCCCAGCCAAATTAGCTTCAGCGTCTTCTAAAGGTTCATTTAGTGGCGAAGGGATATCAGACTCGGGCATCGCCTTATCCTCAGCACAAGGTTCCTCAGGGACGTCTCTGTCTATTCTGTCAGGAGTCTCTTGGTTAGATGTGGAGTCCTCAGCTTCCTGGCTCTGCTGTATCTCTTCACTAGGCATCAAAGCTAGAGAGGTACTTTTCGAAACCACTTCTGGGACTGGAGTTGTAATACTCTTCTGAGCATCCTCTGTAGCATCGCCGTGTTTACGTGGAGGAGACCAAGAATTAGAATCCTTAAGGTGACCAAAAGTGTCAAGATTTGTAACAGTCACAGATGGTAAATTCAGGGGATAATGCCCAGTCACCGAGTATTCACTGTTTTCAGTTTTCTCAGAAACGATGGCACTGGGGGAGTCGGTGTTCTCAAACACTGCACTCAGTTGACTCACAGTTGGGGAGACAGCCTCTGTCCGGGAGCTAAGGCTGTCCAGGGAATCGGTACTGCCTCTGTTGGACTTCGAACCACCCCATTCATCCTGAGGTTCACTCCCTCCAGCTTTCTCTTTCTTTGGGGAATACCGGTTATTTTGTCCTGAGTCATGCACACTTCTCTCAAACAACTTCCGAGTTTCTGTGAACTTAGAATATGAAGGGCCATCATACATTGTGTCAAATCTACTAATTCGTTCTGAAACAGAGGACTCCAACTTAACAACTGAGCCATCTGTTTTCTCCAGAAATTCTCTGGGCTTCATTCTTCTCTGAGGAGATGGAGGTCCACCTTTCCCCCTTGTTTTGGCAATGACTGCAGTATTCTCATTGGGTTCCATACCCATCTGCATAAATAGGTTTTTAATTCTGTTGACATTGGAGCCATATTTCCTTCCCCTGCTCTGCTGAGAGCCCTCACCTTCTTTTGTTTTTTGTTCCCCATCTGACTTGGGTTTGTCAAAGGTGCTTTTCAGTGCCTGGAACTCAGTTCTATATGCATTCCTGTGAGGAGAGGCACTTCTGAGAGTGGTTCGTTCACCAGAAGACTCGGTTTTCAACATTTTTACTTCAGGGTGAAAAGCCAATGTTCATAATGATCAGGAAAAAAAACAAAAACAAAAAACCAGAACACCTCTCTTCTCTATCACCAGTATTTGGTCAAAAAAAAGTACCTCTCAAATGGCATACTGTGTCAGTGATCCTCCCAACAGGTGTAATAGGAAATTATTCAGTCAAGAGTTACACAAAATGGGTTTTTCAAAGCAAGACTACAGGTTCATCTGTAATAGAAAAGAATGAATTTCTGAATTCATTTACTTGTTTCAATTTATGTTCAGTTAACTAACATACACTTTTCAAAGTGGCTTCAAACACAGGAAATTACTTACTGAAATGGGAATTTAAAAGCCAAGAATTTAAAAGTTATAACTCTGATTGGTCTTTGGCAATAAAAATGTTTCAAACAAAATTCGGAGATCTCAGCCAAAATCACACACATACACACATACAAGTTATACAATAAGTACACTTGAAAGCAATACTTTAGCCCAAGTTTTGGTGGCTTTGGTGAGTGACCTTTAAAGAAACCAGCAGTTCATACATCTTTAAGAAATTATCAAACTGTCCAGAAAAATGAACTTCATTTGGGACTCTCCACATCAGGTAGAACTTATTCTTTCTGTGTCAGTACAATTAAAGTTTGGAATCTATGTTTACAAATTCCAAAACATACCCATAGAGACTTATTTGTCTCTTTCTGATCCAATATTCTCATTTACAGCATCCCCAAAGCAACATTAGTACAATTTCAGACCAAAACAAGCAGAAGAACGTTCTTAAATGGCAATAAGTTTCACTCTAAGTTTAGTTCTATAAAATCTTTGGAAGTTTCCTAAGGGTGGATATTATTGATTACAGAGTGGGATGTAGAATATCATGGGACTAAATGCATGAGACTGTGACGATCAGAAAGCAAATGTACCATGAAACCTCTTTCCATAGCCCTGATTTGTTTATTCCTGCTTGCCTCTAACTTACTACAAGCCCAAAATGCAACGCAATGCAGGCTTGCTGGTTTCCTCCAGCCCACAGCTGGATTTTATATCAATAGGCCAGCAATCAAATACTTCAAGATCTTCTGGGGAGCAGGCAATGTAGTTCTAAAGATATTTCATTTTGTTTTGGTTTTGGTTTTTAATATTAGGCCGAGCCTTATCACCCTCACGCACGATCAGCTTAAGCAGCACACACTTTCACTTAAATCGGCTCCAAACTCGGCTCCCGGCCCAGCACGCATGCATGGCCCATGCAGACAAACAAGAAAGGCTTTATAGTGTGGTGCCTGGGTTTTGGGGTGTTTTTTTTTTCTTTATCTTTTTTTTTTTTTTTTTTTTT